AGTCAAAACTCGAGACGTGGGAGGGTGGGAGGGTGGGAGGCCCGCCCACCACACTGTATTCTTGGTGCTTACTTTGTTTACTGTGTTAGCGGTACTCCCAGAACCAAACATGCATCCTGCACTCGTCACAGTCTACTTCATATTAATGTTACACCACTCTGTGTCTAATACAAGAGTCTTGCAAGAAGAAGGCCCCGTTTCTGTCTTTCTGCTACTTGCGATTGTGGTTCCAAATATTCTAACTCTACACGTTACAAATACTGTTATTCAATGCTCTTTAAATATTGACTCCTTCCTCCAAGTCCCCTGACCGCATCTTTGACTTCGATCAAATGTTTCTCCAATTTTACCCAGTTTTTGAAAGAGTAATCAACACACTTTACCTCTTAAGAACTGGCAAGGCACTCTGGGAGGCTGAGGCAGGACAACTGTTAAGTACAAGCACAACGTGGGCAATTTAGCAACTTAGGGAGACTCTTGTCTCAAAAAACGGTGGTTGGAGAGGGGCTGGAGATGTAGCTCAGTGTGAAGGCCCTGGATTCAATCCCCAGTAAGGCAAAGAAAGAGAAAATAGGACTGGAGAATGTGCACTTAGTGTGTGATTTGCATACAGTGTTGAGGGGCTTTAAAGTTATTCACAGCTCTTCCTTCTTTCCAGTGGGTTTTCCCTCTGGAAAAGTGCTCAGGAACTTAAGGGAGCCACATCTCTTAACCAGAACAGAACATTTTGTACAGCAAAACAAGACCCAAATTTCACACTAAAAAGAGATTTCATCACAAGATTTAGATTTGGAAGTTAACTTTGCCACCTACTACCTCTTGAGTGATTTCAAAATTTAAAGTATTCTCTACATCAAAGGCAAAGAATGAGAACAGAGAACCTTTTAAGTAATTTTCAAATACATCAAAAGCATTAAAATTTGGCTCCGTGCTTTCCAAGATTTGACAGCTAGAAGTTACAAGAATATTTTAATTTTAATTATATGAAAATTAACACCAATTATGCTGATGTGTCTACATAGAAAGAAATGATTCTTTTAAGTGTAGCGATTCTGTAATCTGATAGTTGGAGTTGGCCAAGTGCAGTATGTAGGAATTAGTGTCACCTACCTATACAAGGACATGTATCTTTTAGAATTTTAAGACTCAGAGGAGGAACTTTCTAGGAAAGTGTGATATGATTTTATCTTCCTTTCTATGTAAATCTGTGCTTCTCAAATGCTCAAAGTCAAAGTTTTCATTTTGTAAAATTTTTGTGCATACCTGGTCAGGTTAATTTTATTGTAAATGACTAACGTTTAGAAACTGGCTTATTGGGTGAGCTTCTTGTTAAACTTTTTAAAAACTATTATGGCCTCAATAAAGAACATAATGAAATACTTGTACACCAGTTTTCCCAATATATTTCAACTTTTTTTTCTTTTCAGTTTTTTGAGACAGGGTCTCATTATGTATTTCAGGCTAGCGTTGGACTCACTATGTACCCAGCCTGGCCTCAAATTCATGGTGATCCTCTTGCCTCAGCCTCCTGAGTGCTAGGATTGCACACCACCATGCTGGGCTTATTTCAACTTTTACTAAAAATTTTTTCTGACAAATTGAAAACAGACTGATGGTCCATGAGACAAAACAACGTTAAGACAGAGGAGAAACTGTCTCCTAACGGAGGAGATTTGTATTTCACACAAAGCTGAAATAAGGCTGCGTGCTGAGGAGATGAGTGATGTGCAAGGCTGGGAAAGCCCCCTCATACACTGGGCTGCAAAAAGGGGAAAACTTGGGTTTGGGAAGGGAAATGTAACTGACCAGAACTCAACTGAAGACTGTATTTCTAAAGTGCGTTCACACACACACACACACCTTACCACAGAAAGAAATGCACTCCGTGAGTGGCTGCATTGTCACTCAATCCCTGAGACACCCAGCCCTTGGAGCAGCCAGCCTCACATACTCAATCACAAAGCATTACTGACATTGCGGAGACAGTACTGAGCCTGAGTCCACTACCTTCAGCTGAACTGACATGCTAGGGCCTGGTCCTCCCAGTTGGATAAGCACATTCAGAAAACCAAGGAGGACAGAAATTTAAGTGTTGGCTGCTGGGCAGGAATTGGGAGGGTTACAGCAGTTTCTGGTAGGGAAGAAGCTGCTACACCCCTTCAAGTTGTTTATCTGAGGTAAGGGCCTCCAGAAAGACCCGTGGAACCAGGCCTCCCTGAGGCAAAACTAGTCAAGGCCACCCAGCCCCTCTTCCGGGGTCCTCAATTAAACTGTGCTTATCATAATCTAATGATAATGCCACATTCTCTGCCCAAGAGCTGTTTCTGTCCATTTTTAAACATGCAATGTATGGAGCAGCAGGATCCAGAACTGCACACGCTCAGAAAGGTGCCCTCCTTCCGTCTCTCCAGCATGAATATGCCAGTGTCTTCCCTGGAAAAGCCCTTGCGTCCTTTGTTCAGAGAAACTGCTTTGGGAGTCAGCCCGGTGCTTTCTTCACTTGCAGCAGCGCATGACAAACCTTCCTTCGCTCTGACCTCCTCCGGCTGTGCTTACGGTCACCAAGAAACAAACGCATGGGCAGCACCAAGAAATGAAGAAATCATTCAATCCTGTAACACTGCTGATCGCATGTAAATTGTGTTTATACAGGTATAACGCACAACACACTTTGTAATCAATGGGGCCTCTGATTAGGCTTTTTTAAGAAATAATGCTTAATAGAATTTTCTCTACTACTTTCATGCTGGTTAGGTTTACAAGCATGTACCCAGCACTTTGGTCTGTCAAGCTTGTAACTCTGCTCTGCTAGGTATTTGCAGTTTAACTGAACATTAAAATTGGTTTAAATTTTGAGGATTTAAGCACTGAATGTCAATCAAAACACTAAGCAAAGAAAAAAGTGTTAAGGGCTTAAAGGAGGAAAAAAGTGCCTAGAAACAATTTTAATGAACAGCATAATAATTAGAACATGATGGTATGGGAGTATTGCTTTCCATGTTGTCTCAGTTACTGTTCTCTCGTTGCTGGGACAAAATACCTGATGCCCAGAATTAAAGAAGGAAAGGTTCATTGAGGTCACAGTTTGTGGAGGTTTCAGTCCATATGCAGCTGGCTCCAAGGCAGGTGGCACATGGCAGAGGGCAACAGTGCATGGCAGTGGAAGACAGCAAAAGCAGCAAGAGTGAAAGGGAGGAACAAATGCCACGGCACTAGGTTCCAGAATGGCAGCAGCATAGAGAATCTGCTCCTCAGAATTGGATTCAGGGTGCCCAGCAATCCAGGCACTTAACCCCTACAGCCAAGAGAGAGGAAAGCTTGGCTACTGCTCCACATGGCAGCAGACCTTGGCATCCATGTGGCACTGGTGTTAGGCACATACAGAATGCAAGAGTTCTGAGGTTAAAGAGGCTTCCATCTCAATTTCAGAAGGCCTGGGAGGCCAGGCAGCGTGCCCAGAGGGCAGCGTGAGAAGCTGTGAGAAACCTGAAGTGCAGTGGAGACCTCAGAAGGTTGGAAAAGCCAGGAACGTGGACGGTCTGAGGAAAGCTGCAAGGAGGGAGCAAATCAGGCCCAAGAGAGAAGCCGTAGGAGCTACAACCACCAGAAGTGCCATAGGGACGGAGTGATGCAAGCCCTTTGCAGCTCACAATTTACCACAGATTGCTTCAGATGTTCCACATGGAACTACAGGACTTAATGTTAGCCCTGCTAGATGCTGGACTTCCTTTGGTCCCAAGGCTTTGTATCCTCCTATTTGCACCTTTTGGAATGGTAATGTTTATCTTGTGCCACTCTGCCTTGGAGACTGCCGAGTATGGACTGAAACCTCCACAAACTGTGAGCTAGATAAACCTTTCCTTCCTTAATTCTAGGCATCAGGTGTTTTGTCTCAGCAACAAGAGAAAAAGAACCAAGACACATGTATAAAAGCACCTCCTGAAATCAAAGCACTAGCATTCCATCAGAACGCTGTCACTGGTTCCTACTTCCCACTATGGGGCCGTGCATAATGAAACTAAAGCAGAACCCAGGACATCAAAGAATCAATGTGTTCTTAGGACTCAGACGACTGCAGTGTCTCTGGTTATCACAACTTCCAGACAGTAAATGTCTGATAAAATGAGTCACTTACGGACTCTCAACACATTAACATGAAAACTGAAAATTCTGCTAATGTAGGGAATCTGTAACTAGCACTAAAAAAAGCTCTGTCCAGTATTTTTCCACATTTCTGAAAATAAAAATATCTAGGTCTAGACACTAAAAATTTTTACCTTTCAGTGAAGAAAAGATGTTGGTTTGACGAGACTACTGATACTCTGGCAAGTGTGAATAAAGCTTATTTAAGCCCTAGCGCATCCAGTCACCAATTCAACGTTCAGAAAGCACCTAGGAATGGGGAGGAGGCAGGGAGAGGCAAAGGGGAGTGAAGAGGAAAAGCGGGGCAGAGGGAGAGCGGGAAAGAGAGAAAGGAGATGCAGAGACCCACTGAAGAGCTTAAGAACCCAGTGGCTGAGAAATAAAGGGCAGGGGGCACACAAAACTCCCTGACACGGGAAGGGAAGGTATTTCTCCGTGCGGAGCACCGCTGCTATCACGGAGACAACCAGGCTGCACACAGCACCACGGCACAAAACTAGAGCGCACCGTTACACGTGGCACCCGACCCTGGACGAGCATCTGTGCGTCTCGTGCATGTAGTCACCACGGTCCTTATTTCAGAGCGTGTTCCTTCTACGTATCTAAAATGAAGCACACTGTCTGCCATGTGACCCAGCGGCAGCCTCACCCACCTCGTCACATTGCGCCCAGCTCGCGGCTGGGCCTGGCCCGCCCAGGCTGTGAAAGTGCGCTCCACGAGGTCTGTGCTAGGACACTGTCGCCTGCGGACTGCCGCTCACAACACGGCTGCCGTCACTGCTTGCATCCACCCTCCCCACCTCACTGATCGGTCTTGTTCAACATACCAAGAAGGCACAAACAAAGAGAACGACACGTTTGGAGTGAGACTCTTTTAATAATTATATTCATTTCCTGAGAACAATAAATACAGAAACTGCAAGCAGTACATGTAACAGTAATATTTTCCTTAGGAAGCACTTTTACACAACTCAACAAGCAAACACGGCATTTTTGGAAATCAGCACTAGGAACAGCTACACAACAGCAGAAGATTACTAGTGAAATGAAAAATTATTTATTCTTGACCCTAAGTGCAGAGGGTCCCACTCCAGGCAGTCCACCACAGGGGCAGGGGCAGAGGCCAGCTCAGCTTCGGGCAGCAGCAGTCTGGGGCTGCTCAGATTGGAGCTGTTTGCCAAGATATTCCCTGGAAAACAGGAATATAACACGGCAAATTAGAACTTCAATAACAAGACTCACTTTCAAGATGTAAAAAGTATTAATAGCCCTAGAACACAAAGCTTCTCCAAATTTCCAAAGTACCTGTGTACCACGAGTATGCTACCCATGTTCCGTGCACAAAGGAGTCATGGCACACACGTGCTAGTAACTGCACATACAAGGGGGACTGCAAGACAGTGTGACACACTTCGCAGGGAAAGTACTTTCTTGTTTATGATTCCAAGGGGCCTCACACATGAAAAACAATTTCCTAACGCGAACAAACACACACATCCACAGCCTGGGGTGAACCAAGAGCACACAAGAATCAGTCACCGGCGGTCGCATCAAGGACCACAACACGAGCCAGCTGCCTGGTGCGGACTCAGGACTGGCACGGCCCGCAGCCCACACGGAGACGGCTGTGCAGCAGCCCCGGAGTCAAAGAGCAGTGTTCTCGTCCCGCGAAGGGGCACGAACCTTTTACGTCACACTTTACTTCAGGAAATACACCGAACATTCACACTAGAGTGTGCGATACGTGAACACGTCGTTCTAGACCGCACCCAGGAACCGCTGCTCGATCCGGGGCACCAAGCCTCTTCTCCCTCTTTTCAAGTGAACAGGAAGACACGCACAGGCACGAGGCGGGTGCCGTCCCCTCCGCACCTCTTCAGCTGGCCCCCACTGCCTCTCCTGGTGTAAGCTGCCAGGAAACAACCTTGGGGTGCCCCAGGGTCTACTGGTAAGTACAAGGCTGCCTTTCTCCAGGGGCTACAGGAACGGGGAGGGGCACCCTGCACGCTGCGCTACCGACTCTGCCTTCCGCCGTCAGAGCCAGCTCGGAACGGCAGAGGGGGAAGCCAGGGCTAAGGGAAGGAGGCGGCGCTGGCGCTAGGCAAGGGCAGAGGTCACGCAGCGGCGCAGGGCAGGGGACGGTGACTGTGAGCCAGTGTATGTGAGTGCCAGGGACCCCTCCTCCAGAAAGCCGAACGAAGCCAACGATGGTCCCCAGAGCTGAGAGACCGACTCGAACACCTGACGCGGGAACGGCTGGCTGTCTTTTCTGTCTTCCCAGGAGAGTTCCTGCAGCTGATTCATTAATTCTGAATGTTGTATTACAGTATGGAACATTCTCGTGTTACCGACAATTAGATACGCTTCATTTTACGGAGCTCTTCAAATACTGCAGTTTTAAACCCTGGACTAGTGACTGCACACACAAAGGAGGGGCTGCGAGACGACGTGACACACTTCACACTGTGACGCATTAGTTAAGTGTGTTTTTAAGAAACATTATACAAGTGAATTCTGAGACACAACGGTATGCTTTGGTTACAACAGGCTGTGGTTCTCTCCATAACAGGCCCAGGTCCAAGGGCCCTGCTCTATACGCAAGCTTCAAAGACAAACGGCAAGGGCACGCACAACGTCCCAGGAGCCCGGGCAGAGAAACGCTAGGAGACCACCATGTGTCCTTGTAGGTGTGGTCACGAGAGAGACTCCCAACTGCTCCATCTTTCCCAGAGACGGGAAGGGTGGCCCATTCCCTACCAAACGGAAATAATACCCAGGGAACAACAGTGAGCTGTTAGAGGTGGGAAACTGACTTCTTCACCACAGATGCACTGTTGAAGGAGGGCCAGCGCAGAAGGGTTCAAGAACACAGCAAAGGCGGCTTATTCTGGCAGAGAAAAACTTAAAGACACTGGAGACCGGTCTTCTCTCTGAAGCGGAGGGCCCAGAGCTCAGACCCATCCTACCAGTTAGTCCAACAGCAATGAGGGGACCCGGGGCATACTCTGCCTTCTCCCTCTGGCCAGACCGTCATCTCTATGGAGGAGCCCGGGGTAATCATGACTATGGAGGAACAAGAAAACAGCCTGTTGCTAGACACAGGTGCAAGTCTCTCGGTCCTTCTTTTCAATCCTGGCCTTCCTTCCAGCCATCATACCTCAGTGACAGGAGTCACTGGTGAGGAGGTAATCTGCTATTTTTCACAACCCTTAGGCTGAAACTACTTGTTAGATCCTTCTTGCGTATCTCTGTCTGCCTGAGAAACCACTTTGAAGATACCACCATGTATTACAGCAGCCATTGATATTTTCCCACTGATCTGTCCATTACTCTGTAACGTTTGTATTGTTCCTATGCTATTTCGTAAATGGATGTATGTTTATTATTATGTGTTTCCTACAACAACCATTGAGAAAAGTTAATGATTATTCAATAGGTCACTCATGTATAGCTCTATTTATTTTCTTTAGAAGCCACTTGGAAGATACCAAAGTATAGTACAACAGCTATTGGTAATCTCCTACCTCTTTTGTCTGTAACTCACTATTATTTGTCTATTTGTTTTCCTGAGAAACTACCTTGTAGATAACAATATGTAAAACAAAACCATTGGTAATTTCCTACCACTTTGTCTGTAATTTGGTAAGCTGCCCCCCTTATTATGTTATCCTTCTTTTACTCTATCAAATAAAAAAAAAAAAATTTAAAGACATGCCCACACAGCTCCCCTCCATTTCCTTTCTGCTCTTGTATATCTTCCTGGCTGGTCACTTTTTACAGAGAGCTGCCTCTCCCATGCTCTCACTTTTTTCATACCTAAAGGTATCCCAAGGACATCTACTGCTTCATAACCTGAGTGCCCGACAGGTAAAATACCAGTGCCTCTTTTCCCGTCAGCTAATTTAGGATCCGGGGAGGATGGAGACACATGCAGATGTAAAAGGTCCAACCACCGTACATGGGGCTCCACGGGTACTGCAGGTCACACAATGCCAAACCAGCACCAGGAGCCCAGGCGGGACAATAAATCTCCCCGAGGCTCTTTTAAAATTTCAAAGTTTGCTAAGCTGAAATACCAGAGGGCGCGTGGCTCAAATGACGCAAGTAATGTACTGTAGAAGAGGACCTACCCTGCACAGAGCTCAGGAGGCTTCTCCTCCGAACCTCACCTGTGCCGCTGTACGGTCTCCTCCCCGCATGCAGTCAGCTGGGCATTCCTAAGACCCAGGCCAAGGCTGGGGACAGAGAATGGTCTCAACCACTCTGCCTTTTTCTTTTCAGTTTTCTTTTCATTTTTGTTCTTTTGGTACTGCAGACTGAACCCAGGGCCTACACATTGAACTATGTCCCTAACTCTTTTTTATATTTTTTATATTGAGGCAGGGTCTCACTAAGCTGTCCAGGCAAAGCTCAAACTTGCAACCCTCCTGCCTCAACCTACCAGAGTGCTATGGTAACAGGTGTGTGCCATGATGCCTGGCTCCGTTCCGCTCTGGGTGACAAGCCACCATGGAAACTTACAGCTTTGCTCACACCTTGTCCTAGTCCATCCTTAAAGACCCTGTGAGGTGGGCGTTACCTTCTCCATTAAACAGCGAAGTAAGCAGAGTCTCAGAAAGTATCAGTTATTCACTCCACCACAAAGTGAGCTTGCAGGCTGGCCAGGTTCTCACCCCACTCCGCCTCCTGTGGGGCCGTCCGGCCCCAAGAAGAGCTGGAAGGCGCCGTACACAGGCCCTGCTCTTATCTTTATAGATCAGACAGTAACAGAGCCTGCGACTAATTTCTTCAAGTTAAAGTCACATTACTGTCTGGCAAGGAAAAACTGATGGATCTCACTTCAGGGATTGTACTGTATCTAACAATAAAAGATTCAAGAAGAGATTTTTTAAATTAATTAACCTCTTTTTCCACACAAATTATAACTCACTTAAAAGGTACCTGATCTGTATTAAGAATTTACAGGAGTTTGACATTAAATCTTTGTTTCTACTATTTAAGAAGCATAATTTGAGAATTGTAACATTTTTCTTCTTTAACTTCACCAATAACTGAAATCTTTTTGGGATCCGAACATCTCTGAAACGGAAAAAAGAGGCACTCTGAAGACATGCACCCTCCTTTAGAAAAATCCAGAACAGCACAGAAGGGAGACCACAGCGCAGGCTGCGGGAGTTTCCTCCGAGGGGAAGCACGGAGAACTACTCCTCAGCTCCCACAGGCACCGTGAGAGCGCGGAGAGCCGAGAGGCGAGCTGAGGCCCTGAGGCCTACCGAGAGCCTGCTCTGGAGGAGTGAGGGCATCGGGCAGCTCGGCACCCAGCAGCGGTGCCTTACACGTGTTATCACTTTCCCACTATGGTCACGGCACGTGACCTGCTGAGCCACGGGTCCGCAGCAAGTACCCCCCTCCTTCTAAAGCTGCCAGCTCCTGGTCAGCAAGGAGCTACAGCCAAGAACAACGGGCACAGCACAGAGCACGGCCCAGCTGACCACCCGACGCACACAGCCGGGTACCCCACACGTGTACATGAGGCACCGCGCTGCTACGCAGACGCGGGACGAGGAAACTTGGATTCATCACACGGCCGCGTGTGAACGCAGTCCACATGTAAGGTGTACTACAGACTCCTCCTTCTTTGATTATATTTCGAATGTGAGGCAATAGAGGGCATGAGGGAGAAATGGGGTCTGACTTACCCCTTCCGATATTCAGAACAGTGCCAAGTGTAAGAGCTCAGGAACTATTCAGTAAAAAGTGGTTGACGGGGCTGGGGTACATCGCCTGCCTGCACGTGAGACACCCAGTGTTTGATGGCCAACACTGCTTCCCAAAAGGAAAACAAGACAGTGGCCAGGCACGGCGGTGCTGCCTACAGTCCCAACAGTCTAGGAGGCCGAGGCAGGAGGGCCACAAGCTCATGCCCAGCCTGGGCCACTTAGCAAGACTTCCTCTCAAAAAATAAAGAGGGCTTAGGATGCAGCACAGAGCAAAGGCTCCAGGTTCAACTTCAACTGCCAAAACAAAACAAAGAAGGATTTGGAGAATCCTGTAGGGAAGACAGACCTTGGAGAAGGACTCATCATCCTCCAAGGGGAATGTGCTGAGATACCAGTAGAGACAAAGACACCAGTAGTTTAAACCTACCAACTACTCCATAATCTAAACCAATACAACAGTACATGGAAC